GGGCGATTGGCGGAGACGGTTGGAGGACCGGACAAGCGCCGAGCCGCGATGACAACACCAGGTTCGCGGCAACCCACGCTTTCCTTCAGAGCCACTCCATCGCCATCGCAAACAGCCAATGGGGCAAGGCCACTCACATCCCCCTCATACGCGGCGGTCACTGCGGGCCCATCTTCAAGGACCACGACATCTTCCACCATCGCCCGCAGCGGGACCGTCGCGACGAGCGCCGCGCCCAAAATAACAGAGGCCAGGAGATCCGGCGAAGCCGCCGCAACGAGGAAGCCGCCGACGACCGCCACGGTGAGTAAACCTCGTGTAGTGTCGGTAGAAACGGTCAAGTTATCCGTCAAGCCGGTAAGAGCGAGCGCGCAGAATGCAACCAGATCGGCACGCGCTCCCTCTCACCCCCCGCAGAGAACATCACCGGAGGCGGGGGGTCCACGAAAATCGATGGAGAAGGAGAAATGTGGAGAGGGAGCGTACAAGAAGTTGCCCGCCAATCACGATCTACCAGTATCATCCAGGACGCGGCGGGCAACCAGCGTGCCGATCGAGAAGAGAGAGGACACGGCAAGACGGGAGCGCGTCTCCCCACACCCTCCTCGCAGAAAAATATATAACATCAGTTCGTCATCGGACGATGAGGGCACGCCGATACAACCAGGCGGCGTGGGGAGACCAATGAGAAGGAAGGAGACCGGACCACCCCCTGTGACGTCTAGAGAGGGGGTGGAAATAAGAGCAAGGAGATCCACCAGCGCTCCCGTCGAGAAAAGTGTGGTATAAGCGCGCTTGGCGACTCTGGGCAGACCATCGTCCAGAGCGACGGGCAACTCGACGTCGCTGGTCGCGGGGAACACGGAGAGGACGCCCCCCGCGACGCTCCCCAGCCCGCCTACGTCCACCAGAGGCGGTCCATCGGGGAGCCCAGGCGAGACGCTAATATCTCTCTCGCCAGCGACGTCCCTACCGACGACACTCACCACTAGCACGGTGACGACGACCACCTGTGGAAGCCCCATCGCATCCACCGGCTTCACAGGTGGCGCGGGGAGGCAATTAACACCACCATCGTGCCTCCCCCCAATGAGCATCCTCCCGACCATCGGGGAGGAAACCGCGTCACCGTGCGTGGCGGTCGCAGTATCAACAACGAGCGGCAGTGAGTCCCCTTCGATACCACCGAGGACGACTACACCGGAGCCTGAGCGGGGACGAGAGGAAGGGCGGCAGGAGGACGCGGCGTCCAAAACACCCATCGTGGAGGGGAACAATCAATGGGGTGGCAGCTGGACGGTGAGCGTGGGAAGAAGAGCAAGGCGGAGGCAGCATGAAAACGATAGGTCCCCCTCCAACTCCGAGTCCCCGCCAACCGCGGGACCATCGCGTTCGCCGCGCGTGGCCCCACTGTGCGCGCTCATAGCAGCGTCGACGAGCTTTCACGACGAAAGCCTGAGAGTCGTCAACATGCACCACGAAACTTGCCGGGAGAGAACTCCGCCCTGTAACGTATTGCCAGTGGGGGCGGAGAGGAGACGCCGGGAGACATCGCCGGAGGATCACGCGGAGGGAGACGTCGGTCGTACTGGAACAAAGGTTAGTGTCGAACGTCCGAGTGCTCCCGCGTATGTACGTGGTGTGATGTCTCGAAGGGGAGCGGCCGCGTCATCCACCGTGCCACCGCGAGCCAACCGTGGGGAGGGCGGTCAGCAGCATCATGGTCGGCGGCGTCCGAACGCCCCCGTCGGTCAGCCGTCGCGGGATCACCCGGCGCCTGCGACTGTCGCGAGGCAGCGCAGGCGTGAGCGGGTGACTACCCGCGACGCGCTGCTCGATCGGGCCAAGGACGTCGACTCGATTGCTGATCTGGAGACGTTCGCGACTTCGGTGGCGGCGTTCTTCGGGGAGGACGCATCGGCCAGAAGTGCTGCTGGCCGCGCTCGCGATCGCTCGGTGCGGTCACGGGAGGCGGGTGCGCGGCGTGGAGCGAGGGGGGGTGAACCTCCGGAGAGAGAGGGCGCCGATAGGCCGGGATCAGCGTCGGTTGACCCCGGAGCGTCGGGAGAAGCACGCGGGGACTGGGTGCGCGAGGCCAAACGCCTCCAAGCGTACAGGGCGAACCGCCGC